ATTGAGATATGTCCCAATCGATAATGCCACAACATGTATGAGTTCTCACGAAAAATCCAAACATGATAGTCTCGATATAGAAATTAAATTTTTGGAAAAACTAGGAACATAAAAAGTCTTTTCCAATATCAAAACAAAACCACTACTTCGCATTAAATTGCACGTCCCAATAGCTTCTACAGGTGAATGCATCCGACTGCCGAAATAGATGAACTGTTCACTTCCCATTGGTTTCCTTAAGCTTTCCATACCCTGCAAGGTATTGGAAACATGGATTGTAGAACCATAATCAATCCACAATGTGTTATAATTAATATTAACCAAATTAGATTCATAACAGACAAATGCAGAAGGAATAACTTTCTTTTCGAGCCAGGTTTTGAATTTAATGCAGTCTTTCTTCATGTGTCATTTCTTTTTACAGAAAAATCACTTAGACTCCTTCTTTATAATCGGTCGGTTGGCACAAGTCCCTTCCCCTTTACGTCGTGCTTTCTTTTCTTGCCATGAACCGTCAGGTTCACTTTTTCATCTTCCTCCATCAACAATCTTTGCTCCCCTTGGACACATATGGTCATCAACTTGTTGATGGACCATTTATCTTTATGTGTGTTATAGGATATGTTGAATGAACTTTATTGATGAGACAAAGTGCAAAAAATATAGTGGACAATAAAAGACTCAGACATGGTCATCTCTAAGCTTTTCAGCTGCGTTGCAATGTCCCACATGCGCCTTATGCGCTCGCGCACACCCCTCACACCCGTGAATTTTATGGTGGAGAACTAAATAATCAATGTGCTGGCAAGAGCCTTATCAGACTTGACAAATTGTTCGTCAATGGCCTTCAAAAGTTCTCTGCGATTATTACGCTTGTCGACAGATGCACGGATACCAGCAGATATCTTGGTCTATATGAACATCATGAAAAAACGGTTAGATCTCTCCCATCTCTCATAAAGATCCACCTCATCTAGCTTGCTGGTTTTAGTAATATCCGGCGGTTCGTCTTTTCGAATAGCATAATCAATATCCATACATCCTAAATGAAGAAGAATACTCTCATTCCAAATTTTGTAATTATCACAGTCAATTCGGGAATATCACACTTAATATAATAAATTCATAATATTAAACGCTGCAAATTAAATTTACATGCTCATCAATAAACGAGACAAATAAACTACATGTTCTACCAATATAAACATGTTAAGACATGAATCTAAAGACATAAAATTTATCTGTGGGCTAAAGTTTTACTTAATTAGATTCAAACATAACTTAACAATAAAACTATCAAATTGTATTTCTTTTCTTAATTCATATGAGTAGATTAAGAAATACAATTTGATATTTTATCCTAATTGATCATATAATATAACAAGACTCCTGTGGGCATATATTATCATATTGTACATGAATGTCTATTAACGTAATTTCAAATAAATCATAAATAAATTTTAATTAATCAAGAATATTGTAACTGCTAATTAATTAAAATTTAAAATAAATCACAAATATAATGAATATTTAATCTGAAGTTCACTTAAATAAATACATGCATGATTAAATGTGAGCGACATACTCCAAAATAAATAAATAAATGCATACTGAATAGAAGCGGCAGACGACTAGTTTGACATTCTATATTAAAACTTATTATTTAATGGAATTAAAAGTGCACGACGAAAATTCTGCAAAGGGGCTAAGGAAAAATTTGTATGTATTTTTTAATATGTAGTATTAATTCCCTACAGACTGAATATGCATACATACTGAATTTAATATAAGCAGGCAACGAAATAAATAAATAAATAAAAAAGAATGACCTGTTTGTCTGGGGATTTGATTTAAAATATACTATTTATTCTATTTTTTTTTTCTAAAATATCAAATCGAAATTTTTATTTTTTATTTTTTATATAATACTAAAAATTAATTTTATATTGAAAACATCGCATCAACACCTTTTTATATCACATCGTACAAAAATTTAAATTCAAAATTTTTACTATTTATATCCCAACTTAAAATCCAAGCATCGAACAAACACACCCTAACTTGTATAATTCTGTACACTAGTGTTCAATATTTGAACTACAACAGTCAGTCATTGCTTTATTATTTATTTATTTGTTTTTTTTTTTATTATTTAATGCACTGGTCAAGTAAAAATAAATTGCAGCAATGCAGTGATGATCTAGACCCTTTTATACAAATTAAAACTCAATTTCGGCCCGCAGAAAGGGCAATCAAATCAGTCGTTAACACAAATAAATTAATCTACTGTCCACCTAAATTTCAACACACAACACGCAATCCAAATTTGAAATTGCAGCCGAACAAATTAATCAACCCTAAGAAAATTGTAGAAATTTAATATCTTGTAGAAATTAATTTTCATCAAAAGAATTTTGAAGAAGGAATTCAAACTTCTCTCAAAAAACAAAATGAAGCCTTATCGAATCTCAGGATCGGATCTTATCAAGAAAATATAGCAAAATAATTTTTAAAATTTAAAAAAAAAATTCAAAGCAAAGCAGAGATGAATTAAAGCTCTGATACCAAATCTTAGAAATAATTAAATTTCTACAAAATGATTTAAATATGAAATTTATATCACAAGTAATCATACTTAGATCAAATAAATTAGAAGAACCAAATACGATAATTAAACAAACTTCGAACCATTGTTAAAATCAAATTTGCGCTTTAGATATTTTTTTTTTCAAAACACTAGTAGGTTGAAATCCTGGGAAGACGTTAGGAAGGTGTTGCCAAACTCTTGCTCTCAAGTAGCGATGATGTATTCTGATTTTTTTTAAAGAGTAAATAAGAGTATTTATAATTAAAAAGAAAAACCGTCCATCAAGATTTTTTTTTTTTTTTTAATTCTCAGCATGATGGACAAAAAATGGGCAACAATTTATGGTTAATTTAATTAGATAAGATAATTAAAAAATAATCAAATTGATATATATCTATATTATGGAGTATATCAAAAATAAATTTGATTAATTAACTAATTAATTAAACTAATAATATATCCATACAACCTATGGGGAGGGGCCAAAAAATATACTAAAGAGCTATGGATCATTTCCTTTTAATGACTTATAAATGTTATCATGGTATACGTGAAATTCTCATCCCAACCACTCTATTGCAATAGATATGACTCTTAGAGATTTTTTAAATAAAAGAAAGAACTTAGACAAATGAATCTTCTACCCCTGCACTTATACATCATATGTACAAAATATTTTTCTCGATTTCTAAATAATTACTATATGATGGATGATTTGAACTGTATATCATTGGCGTTGTGAGACCCCGAGGATTTCATATCTCGTCTTTACAAAAGATTTCATACTCCGTTTTTAAGCTTAATTGCAAACACTCAATTGCTATTTTGATGAGATGTTCCGGATGATAACCAAATAGATTTTTTTAGATGATTTAAAGTAATTAAATCTTTAATTTATATGGAGCACAGTAGTCAAATATTTGATAGTAAAAGAAATTTAAGATGAAAAGAAGAAGCATAAAAAATTAAAATTTATAGTAAAAAAAATAAAAATTAATTGAGACTTTGATCTAAATTTACAATAATTACATCAAGACTATTTATAAAATCTAAACCATACTTATCTTACTAATCAATACTAATCTACTTACAATACGAAGGAACACAACTCTTCAGTATAGAAATAATACTCTAGAGAATTTAATTTATTTTCAATTTTTCTAATTATATCTAAATTTGGAATTTTATCCAAATTCCTAAATTAGATAATCTTATAATTTTGGTAATAAATTCTAATATTTTGTTAACATAATCCATGTTATTATTTAAATATTGGTAATATAACATAATATTTTATTCAAAATCAAGATTTAGTCATCTCTGCAACTGAATAAAATTTGCATCATTCTTTTAAGTTTTTAGAATTGTCGTCTATTCCAAATTCATCCTTAGCTCATTTAAAATACACATTGACAGTTAATGTAAAATTTTTCTAACGGTCATACTAACATTTGCCTGAGCCTCGTACTAAATTTCGTCTGACGTGTCATTGTAAATGTCTAACACGCCATTTTAAATATTTGACGTCTGACGTCTTAATCTAAAAATCTGACATGCTAATCTACATGCCAATCATATCTTGATTAGGTTGTTAGATATCTTAGACAGACATGATTTATATCCATATCCATGATTTAATTAAATTTAGTTTCTTAGTAATATTTTCTAAATACCTATATATATACATATATGTGTATTTTTCTCTTACTTTTCTCAAGAAATAGTATAACAATATTTCCCCCTATTTCTCTACAAATATAATATGAGGTATTATTTTATGGATGAAATATATCTTTCATGGACAAGATTTATCTAATATATTTCTCTATGATCTAAGATGCACGTATTTTCACAGTATAACAACCGCTTAAAATGATGTAGAAGATGCTTTTGGTGTTTTGTAAGCTCAATTTGTTATTATTCGACACATGTCACTCATTTGGGATATTGATTTAATCAATAAGAATATAAAAATGTTCATTATATTGCATAATATGATCGTTGAAGATAAAAAAAATATATATATATTTGGATTATTGTGATGTATCCCAATTCAACCAAGTTTAGCTGCTCAACTCAGTTATATTATTTAAATCGACATGCCTAAATGATTGAATTTTTAAGAAATAGAATGTGATTTAGGAACAGAGTAACACATCAACAATTAAATTTGGTTGAAAATATGACATAAATTTTGTTCCATGAATAAATTTTTATATTTTTTAATTTTATATATTTCTATTGTATCTATAATCTATTATTTTCTTCAAAAAGTTTAATTATTATTTCTATATTCTATTTTATCAGTTAATCAATAATGAATGATATAAATTAGGGAAAATTGACTTTAAATTCCTAATCCACATAGTAAGTTGATTTTAATCTCCATTCGTAATAAATTGATCTGCACCCCATCTTTTTCTGATCTGACCATAAATTCTCTATTGATATTTTTGTCTTTATTTAAATATAAAAATATACAGAATACTTCGATCTCATCTATATGTGCTTACGTATGTCTTATATAACAAAAAAAAAGTATTATATATGACAACATTCGTCACACATTCAATAATAAAATATAAATAACAAATTAAAAATCTACAAAAAATTCGATGGCTAAAAGTTAACCTCAAAATAAGTTTCTAATCTAGGAATGAAATTGACAACTTGGATAGTGAATTTTGATCATCGATAAATATTTAAATTCATTGGTTTCTAAATAAATTAGTTATGGTTACCGACACATGCCTAGTAACCAACTTTTCCTTACTTATTTGACAATCAAGTTACGTTTGTTAACTGCTTCTCTAATTAGATTAAAATCCTAGTGATGCCACGAAGAATTACTAACCTAACCACATTCTGAACTAGAAGAGCCTAATTAAATTTAGCAATTACCGATGCAGAACTGCTTAAAATTGATTCCGTGATTTTCTAATGATGCCTGTTCCTAATTGCTACTTGAACCAAATTAAAATGCAATTACGGACACCTAATTTAGTTTAGTAATTAATTTTTAATCTAATTGAAATATCTGGCCACAATACCCAACTAAATAAAAGATTATTGAACATTAAAATAAAAAATCATAGAAATACTTAGGAATCGAGAAATAAAATAAAATAAAAACAAATTCTAGTCTCATGAATGTATACAAAGTTGTTTATTTCATTTCTAAACTAGAAAAGTAACTACTCGCTAGTCATAGGAAGAAGAACAAAAATAGCACAAGTAAACATCGCCTATGATTAGTCGGATTGACGGAAAGAAGTCGAAATCTCTTTGGAATAATTTTTGTTCTTCTTGCAATTAGTCATAGGAAGAAGAACAAAAATAGCACAAGTAAACATCGCTTATGATTAGTCGGATTGACGGAAAGAAGTCGAAATCTCTTTGGAATAATTTTTGTTCTTTTTGCAATTGCGCGGTTTCTCTTTGAGACTGTTTCACACTGTGTTCTTCTGCATAGATATGATAAGTGGTGCCTCCCTCCTCCCTCTAATTTTATTTTATTACTGCCCTAATTTTGTAGCAATTAGACTTTTGTGCTTTTAATTAATTCCCTATGTTAAGAGGGTGAAGTTAGTCATGGCCATGACTAACCAGGTGGTGCAAATTTGAATTTTTCTTTATTTTTTTTAGTCAATTACGTCAAATTTGATATTTGCCATCTGCATACCGCAAATAAACAATACCCGTAAAAATTAGGTAAAATCCAATCAGAATCAACCAATATCGTATATAATATAAATATTTAATGCATGCAATTTCGAGCTATCAATATATACCTATAACATTTCACACTCTACTTAACTTGTTCAAAACATGTACTAAATGGAAGAATAGCTATAGGCACGATATATATATATATATATTTCAAAAAATAACTAAATGGAAGAATAGCTATAGGCACGATATATAGCATGAGTGAGGCAAAAAATCACCACACATTACTCTCACCGTAAACAAAATCCTATCCGACTCCTCCGTGTAGCCGATCGGACCCATCTTCCTCTTAGTCTAGTCACCGTCCGACAAAGTGATGAAGCATGGCGAAGAGGAAGTTCCAATCGAGCCCGTCACCCCGGAAAAGCACAAATAACTAAGCTTTTTTGTTAATTCTTTCTAAATTTTTCATTTTCTTCACAGTAGTAGTTTGAACCCTAGATCGTTCGACTAAGGTTAAAATCTCGATCCCAATATGGTATGCCTCTATTCATCCTCGAGAAACCTTCGTTCACCGGAATTTATGTGAGGGCATAGTTGTGTGTTCATCCTATTTTGCATTTTACATTTTGGAAGGGTCTTACGGGATGATGAGTTCATTTTGGCTGTAATTGTTTATTTTTTGCATGTCGGTTGGTTGTTTTATGCATATTAATCATGTTTGGGGGTCGACATTTGTGTTACAAGTTCAATCGGTTAAGAATTAATTATGGTATTTCTATGTACTCACAATTGCATTTTTTAAACTTAGCGTTCTATGTATTATACTTATAAAGGTGATATGTGTACCCGAATTGTGTTTTGAGGTGCTCCCTAGTGAAATTGGTAAAATTTCAAAGTGATAACGAGATGTCCTTTATTGTTGATTGATATTTAATTTTTTACAAAATTAAAAAAAGACTAAATCTCTAGTCAACCAGTTTGTCATCTCGTACTTCCATAATGAAGTCGAGAAGCTAAAGAAGGAGATGTTAGATTGTCATATTAAAGAAATGAAGCATGTTAGGAAGTTATAGTGTTTCAACCGATCATGTTATGATTGATTCTGCCCGTGGTTATCATTGTGTAAGATGTTTTTAGACATTAAAATATATTAGACTGAATGCCACAATATGCTTTCAATAATAGTATGTATACCGGCTTAATACTCATGTATATACCCCCACTTATAATATATACACTTAGACGTGCTGTCAATGTTGTTATGTAAGGTTGTTTTGATCAATTATAGTTTTTTGACATACCCATCATTCTTCTGATACATACTTCTTTGAAGTGGAGAATTAATATTCATTTGCTTTAACAACTTTATGCAAAGTAGAAAATGCAAGATGGATGATACAAATGACAAATAAGAGAATATGAATATTTTTACATGCTTTAGTCTTGCCATTGAAAAGTTTGGCATGAACTGTTGATTGTAAATATACCGTGTACAAACCTTTTCACCGGAGCTAATAGAGAAAATGTTTTTACCGATTCTTTCAATTGTCTCATTCATCAGAAGATTGACTGAAATCAACCACACTCAATGATACATGTTGCTACTCAGATAATACCTAAGAAAACACCATTCATACCTTGAATGTTGCTATTTGTACCTGGTGCACATACTTACATAACTGTATCAAATTCCGGACTACCCTATAGCAGATTTTTACGTACCTATAATAATGGTGTCATATTCTTTAGTAAAATATACATATTCCTTAGTAATCTGTGCTTTGAAAAACGACCATTTTCAATTAGAAATATTCGCTTGTTGTCGGTATCAAGAGATTAATTCATCGTAATAGTGTTCACTCCATTTTCTGAATTGTATGAAAAGATAAACAACATATATTTACTATAGATGGATAAACAAGTTTGAAATGACTTAATTAAATTATATAGGTTATTACTCATACATGCTTGTGGGCTTTCTATTGAATTCGCTTTCACGAAGTAACACAAGGTAAATGTAGTACTTACTTGAAAAAACAAGTTGTAATATACTACTAAGACTTCGAGTGTTTTCCATATAATATAAAAAATATTTCTCTTCTGAAATATTTTGACCCATAATATAGTAATCTAAATTGTTGGACATTCATAGAATCAAGTGACAATCAGTTAAGAGCATTTTAAAAACCAGTAACTCGGTTAAATAGACAAGTACTACAACACAACTCCGATGTACCCCATATTTATTTTAAGAATAAATTATATAACACTCTCTTGTATTTTAGTAAAAATGCACAAAACATCATGTGTTTTATTTATTGTTTGAAACCCTCTTGTGTTAATATAAAATGTGCACGAAACACCATTTTGTCCAAAACTGATAGTTGGTTCTAAATAAAGACTTAAATTATACAAGTTTTATACAAATGAAAAATGTAAAATATCTTAAATAATTTTTTTTTAAATAAAATAAATAAATAAATAATTGATCAACCATTTATTTTTATAGTTTTTGTAAAGGTTTCACACAATAAATACAATATAAGGTGTTTTTGAGCATTTTTACTAAAACATAAGGGATGTTATATAATTTACCCTTATTTGAATGTACTATTTCTTACCAAATTATGTACTCGAGCTCCACTTTCGTATAAATAAAGAATACAATCTTATGACATAGGTGGATAACCGTGTACCTACACACTTCAAATGAATGCCTGTGTGCATGTATTCAACAACCTAGAGTGAGCTCGATAAATTCTAACAAGAACAAGAATTCATAATTCTCTCTGTATGAGTCTAACGGATGCAACACAATGTAACATTCACTTTTTTCCATTTAGAAAATTAATTAACACAAGTTTATTGATTTTTTTAGGTGGGTAATACGCTACAAATCCATGTATTTAATGACATCAACAATGTACTCCTTCACGCCTTCGATGTACCCCTTCTTTATTTTAATATACTATTTTTCCCGATATGTGTACCTGGACTCTACTTTCATATATTTATAGCCTTACAATGTAGGTGGATAATCGTGTACTTACATTCTTGAGATTAATGTTTGTGTGATGGACCGAGTTATCGAATAACGTAGCTTGTGATCACTTAAAGTGATCTTGATAGTTTTCTATGAGAATAAGGATTCATAATATAACACTATATTATTTCCATTTAAAAAATAAAAAATAACAAAATTATATTGCAATTTTTAGATGAGTAATATGTTGTAGGCCAATGTGCTTTATAACATCAACTATATACTCCCACAAACTTAATAAATTACAATGATGGGCAATTCTTATACCTATGTTAGTATCCAAACAACTTTGTTGTCGGAAATTCATTTACAAGTGACTATCGCCATATACATATACATCTCGTTTATATACCACATTATAACGAATTTACAAATAAGTTTCAATTCACCTTCGGTCTTACTGTTGTATGTTTACCTATAATATTACATAATATCTTGTTTTCCGAAAGTAGTTAGAATGAAGCTATATTGACAACAAATGATTGATGTACATCCTATCAAAATAAAAATTACTACTTTAAAGGTTCTATGATGCCCGCTCGTTGCAACTTTGTTGGTTGCGTTCAAAACAACCGCACCAAGCGCACTTTCGTGATCGTTTTACTTGCTGGGATTCATAAAAGTTTATGATATAAAAATCTAATCTTATTAAACAAAATGATTACACAAGCATAGCATTATCCAGATTGCAAGAAATTCATATCACATGTGTGTTGTAGATTACAAGTACGGATGCCAAAGATACAATCATGAACATGGTAGGATGCAAAAATACATCAAGCACAATTATTGTCGATGCACACTGCAATATTTTATTATTATTTTTAAATCAATCCCAAAAAAAATAAAATAATAGAACAAATTTGGTTATTTTGGTTTGGAATTGTGCATCCACCTTAACACCTATGGAGTTTTTACTTATAACATTGATATATCCCAAACTTAGAATATTTGTGCCAATATAAAAAATTCTTCGAAGTCGGATTACCTCGACAAATGGCCACTTAGCTGGGAGGCTCTCCTCGTTACCTAGCAAAGACCTAATGGTAAATTGTTAGTTTGTCCCAAAGTTTGATGGAGTGATAAACTTTTTACATATATATTGATATTTATAGTGTAATTTATATAAGAAGAATACAAATAAATGCTTCAGAGTTATTAAAAGTTAGACCAATTATGTACTATATTTCTTGTCTTATTATGCTGCAATTTTTATTTTCAACATTTCAACATGTTAAGACAAAAAAAAAAATACTTCATCCGTCCACCAAATTTATTCTCATTGTTTTTTTTTTCGTATATCCCTTAAATTTATCCTATTACCATATTTGAAAAAGCAAAAAAATCAATATTTAATTATTACCTTCATTCACGCTTATTTACAATAAATACCACTAATTTTATTATATTCTCTATTTTCATTCTTTTTAATTAGTAACTAAATTTTCAAAAATACCTCAAATTACCTTTTTTTTTTTTTTTTTACTTTTTCAATAAAATATTATTTTTCTTAATCCATGTGCCGAGCACAAATGTGCTAAATATTGTGGACGGAGGGAGTAGATCTTTGCCACAATAGAAAAAATAGATTTCATATAAAACTACAATAAAAAAAAAATAAAAAAATAAATCAAAACTCTTCAGCTTAGGTCTTCAATTTGGTCTTTTTTTTTTTTTTTTTTTTTTTTTTTGGGCACATTGAATTTTAGCAAATGCAAAATTGCAAATTCTTATCATCACTTGAGCCTATAAAATATTTTTATACAATCAAATGCAAAAGACAATTAATACATTACAAAAATAGACATGAATTCATTCAACAATTCAACCAGTTTGGAAGCCAATTTATACATTTAGTCTGTGATTATATTGTGATATAGACTAAAATATTATCAAACAATACGTTCATTCAAGAAAACACCCAAAAACACTCTAAAGTTCCTACCACATGTGTTAGTAAATTCCAAAGATCATTATAATCGTAGGTAATGCATAGTTCATCTCGGACAAATGCCTCGGATTGTCAATAGAATTGATAATGACCTGATTCGTCATCTTTGATTCATCATCACAGAGAATAAATCAAAACCAACAAAAAATACATTTCAATAACTGAAGTCGAAAGGAAATGATTACGCATGGAAATACATATTCCATGGACATCTCATAGAATATTTTGAAGACCTTATGGATAATTCATCACTACACAAATTGTGAATGATTATGCTTAAAAGTATGAATGTTTGCTAGCACACCATTTTTTTTTCCCATTACCTTGATAAGTTCAAGAACTCTAATAGCAATTTCAGTATCACATAATTCATCTGCTATAAATCCATATAAAACTATGCTCATCTCACATATAGGGAATATGACCTAACTTAAAGAACCAACACATAATAATAAAAAAAAAAAAAAAAAAATTCACAATTAGTCGAGTATGATGAGCAATAGCCATTAATAACAATATTGAAGATATAACCGCTAATTGAAATCCTCAAATAGTGCATATATTTGAAAAGGAAAATGACAATCCAATACTCTTGACAAAAATATTTATTAAATTCTTTGATGTTGAGAAAAGAATTTTTTTGTGATATTTTATCGAACATATGAAATGCATCAATTAGACATTCATCTCACTAACATTCACACAGTACTCTCTCCATCCCACATAAAAAGTGTCAATTTTTTCTATTTTCGTATGTTTCACATAATTTGTCTTTTTTCTTTTTTAGAAATATGATTATATATTTTAATAATATTTTAAAAAAATTAATTTAATTTTTTAATCTTAATTAAACTATTTTGTTATCTTAATTTTAATCTATAATTATTTTAATAATATAATAATTATTTTTACTAATACACTTTTTAATTACTTACTAATTATATTTTACCTAAATTCTCATATTAACAGTAACGTAGACACTTTAACCGGGACATAGAGAATATCTTTTAGAAATGAGATAGGAAAATGCAAATATAATATAGGTAGTTGTCAAGTAGAGTGATTAACCCGGAGAACATTCTATTGCACAAACCAATTTCACTCAAGCAAGCAAACTACCTCCATCGATTTACCAATTTAAAGAAATAAAAGCTTTAAACGTCACTTGGCTAGAGCTCTTGCCTCTCCCAATTGTGGCAACTTTTGGTGGTTCTTTAAAAGTTTTGGTTTCGATAATTGTGATGGAATCTCTAAATGGAAAGTTGTCTAAAATTCATAATAATATTGTATTCATAAAATAAAGAATTTTTTTTTTCTTCAAAGCAGAATGAAAAATTGGGGTGGGATGGTGATGACACTGATTGCGGGAGACATTAAAAAACTGCACGAAAAAATCGATCAGTGGAGAAAATGATGATGGATTGAGCGTAAAAGGTGGTAGTGTTGAGGGTAAAAAGGAAATTAAGAAAGAATGAGGAGTTATCTCAAATGATATATGTAAATGAAGTGCATGTTAACTTATTTAAAATAGAGAATGTATCTAAATTTAATTGTTGAAATGAAAATATTATTCTAATGAGCACAAATCATTATTAATCTCGTTCAAACACAAATTTTTATTAATTTTTATTTTCACTAAAAAAAAATATCAAAACTAATTTCACACAAAAAAAAACTCATTATTTTGTCCCTTCGTTAAAATCTCAATCAGTTGTGCTGACATGACTGCAATGGATGCTGAGGTAGTGTCTAAGTCAGATCAAACACGATATTTAACTGTAAAATTCGAATCAACCACGGGCGTGTTCTTTCTAACACGCCCTTGTTGTAAGTTCCACTCAATTGGATGTGTTCGATCATGGATTAAGAGCGAGACTACCTCACCGATGGATTCAGAGGATGATAGAAAACAGAAACAATACCAAGAGCAATAGTTGATGGTTGGCGAGGTTATGGCGGCGGCGCTAGACGATTCGACACCGGCAGTCAATTGGAGAGCAAGAGGGAGAGAAAGAGGGAAAAAGAGACAAGGTGAGAGAGAAGAATGGTTGTACGTGAAAATTAGCGGTAATTTAGTGATTATCTTAACACTGACTTTGGATAATTGAGTAAAACTTACAACACTAGCTTGTTCTTTTATGATAAGCCCGTGTTCGATTCGAGTTTAATTATTGACAAGCTGTAAGTTTAAACACGGCTGTATTCTATGGGTCGTGTTTGATCTGATCCTACCTCAGTGTCTATTATTGTCATGTTAGCACTATCACTTGCTGCGTTGTTGTCGTTTTTTTTTTTTTTTTTTGTGAAATTAGTTTTGATATTTATTTTTTTAGCAAGATCAAAAATAAAAGGAAAAAAAAATGAGACTAATAATATTTATGTATTATGTATAATTGTACCTCGAAGTATACATGACCGTGTGCTTGGTCGGATAGTTTTTAAGTCATGTCCACATCAGCCATTTTTTCTTAATTTTTTAAATGATAAAATCATTGAAATTATTTATAATTAAACTAAAATTGATAAAAAAATTTATAGTGGGACAAAATTGATTTTTTTTTTTTTTTTTTTCGCGCTCTAGTCTAGTTGTAGGTATAAATTACTATTCTTTTAATAAATATTTTAATATATCAAAATATTGACAAAACGAACCGCCCCCACCCCTGTCAAACAGAGTCCGAATAGATTTCACTGTAATCAGTAGACGATCCACAGCTCGCTTCATTTCCTTCCAATGCGTGCAAATCAGCAGAGGCTTCCACGCTCCGTTGCCGATGGAGCATTTTCGTGGCGGCGTCAATTGTCAAAGCGGGAGTGGGCAATTGCCGGTGCGGCCGCTACTGCATTCGCCGCCTTCCTGTTTATTATTTCCCCAATCTCGGTCTCCCGTACATACACAGATTCACCCGCGTATTTTCATGGAGAAGATAAAGGTTCAGAGTGGGTGCCTTTCACGTCTTCATTGAAAGCGCAGGAGAAATCCGCTTGTAATGGCCTGGTTTGCTGTCTTTTTGTCATTTTTTTTTCCTTTTACTGCAAAAATTGGTGTTTAATTAGTAGAATTTGTATTTCAGTTTGTTTGGATGGAAGTGTGCCTGGGTATCATTTTAGAAGAGGGTTTGGATCTGGCATCAATAGTTGGCTCCTGCACGTCGAGGTTCTCTTTCCTGTGCTTACTTTCTACCTCACACCTTTTGCTGCTGATCTGATACATGCTTTTCAAGTCTGGTTTATTCATTTGTTTAGTTATCTCTTATTACACACCACTGACCTAGTTCTTGTCTATGAGGCATCCCGATTGCAATGTTATTATTCCTTCCAAATTCTATATCCAATATTCAGATGTGCACTTAGGAGGATCGAAACAACTTGAGCAAGTATGCTAGGTTTATGCTCTCTGAAATTAAAGTAATTTGAAGGATACTACTCTTGTATTTTCGATGCCTTGGCTGGTTGTGCATCAGCTACCTGTTTTTTTAATTTGTTGGATCAAACAAATTGTTTGGGCTCCTGATTTAGTTTTTGGTTGAATCTTAGTGTAACTGGATCTCTCTATTTAGGGTGGAGGTTGGTGCAATACTATACCATTATGTTCTGCCCGAAAGAGAACTGCCCTTGGTTCATCGATCTACATGGACCGTCAAGCTCAATTTTTGGGAATCTTAAGCCATAATCCACTTCATAATCCTGGTACATTCTAATTGCAGTATATCTTCAGTCTTTGTTGTTTTTGGATACTTTCACACATATTTACATGCTGAGCTGATTCTAGGAACTTAAACCCCTTAAATAGTTGCTTTGTGTTTTGGATTCTTCATAAATCATATCTGGAACGTGCACCTGTGCTAAGATATGAAGCATTCTGGTTTTAATTTTGTCCAAACACTGGTCTTACAAGTAAGTATCTTAACTTTCACAACTGCAAATTTCTCCCAGAACAAGGGCTAAGAATGTATCATTGGTTTGTCTTGCCCCAAAAATCCTACTTATTATCCTCATTCATTTGTTGATGATTTCTAATGGGCAATGTATATACCTTTCAAGATGTCTTGAACCCTATGTTAACGGATACTTGTTTCACATTTAGATTTTTTCAACTGGAACAAGGTTAAGATACGTTATTGTGATGGATCATCCTTTTCCAGTCACCCTGATCACGAGTTTAGAGTAAGTGCCTAGAAGTTTACCTTTGAATTTCTGGTAACTCATAGTTCTTTCCGTCAAGATAGTGGAGTGATGTGATTGCACTAACTTAAATACATTTCCATTCATCTATGCCACAGAATGAAACACAACTATTTTACAGGGGCCAGCTTATCTGGGAAACAATTATGGATGAACTATTAGCAATTGGAATGTCAATAGCTGAAATGGTAGATAAGCCAATCCTCTCTTCACAAGTTCATTGCTTTCTACATACACTGTTATGTTCCATATTTTGTTTTTTCAGAAAAATCATTTGAGCCATATGTCTAAGCTGGCTCTGTGTTAAAATGAATGGTATATATTTTTTTGCAGGATCATGTGAGTCAAATGTTTTATCATTCAACCTGATGTTTAGTGGTTTGTCATGTTATGTTCAGATTTATGTGAACATAGTTAGCACACGGAAATGAAAAAAATAAAAAACAAAGTGACAGAATTTGTTAATTCAATTTAGCAATTTCTTATGTATGTAGTGAGATTCCCATTCCACTTCTTTCCCCAAACTAGCAGTGTGGATAAAACAAGATGCTTATGCTGGAATTCTAAGCACCTTTTTTTTGAACCATGCTCATACTAAATAGAGTAATCGCCAAAATACCTTAAACTGTACAGATTATTAACTAGAATTTAAAGAGATAAAACTAAGATGCAATTTTAGATTCCATGTATTTCATCAGCAAACCTTTTGAAATCCTGTATTCTTTTGACATGCCTCATCAAGGTGAGAACACAATGCCAACAAACATTAGGGATATATTTTCCTTGGGTATTCTCATTTCCAAGATTCGTGTTTCACATGTTCCATGCTTTTTCTTGCTTGCTTCTTTCATGAGATTAATGAAATGGGTTCCCATACTGATAGATGTAATACAGATTGCTAATGCATGCATCATTCTAGTCCAAAGGGTTAAGTTCACACATATATTTGCTATAATTGTAGGCCCTTCTCACAGGATGCTCTGCTGGTGGTTTGGCCACTCTTATACACTGTGACAGTTTTACTGATCTCCTACCGAAAAATGCAAATGTAAAGTGTCTTGCAGATGCAGGTTTTTTCCTGAATGAGTATGTGGTTCACATTCTCTAATGTCATGTTCGATTGCATTTAGTGATTTTTGCAGGCTGTTCTTTATCTACTTCTCTACTTTATAGTACCTTTTTATTTCTCTGGTATTCATCAGGAATTTGGTTCTTACAATCATTCCTCAACTTATTGATGCATTCATTGAAATAAAGTGAAGCAATCATGTTATGGAGTGGTATTTGTTTTATTATGTGAATAAGTGTGTTTGTGATATTTTCACATTTGCAATGAAATGAACATTCTTATGTCATCTGTTAATAAACTGATGATTTGAAAATGATAAGGGCCCACAGCTGTTCATGCAGTCTTGGTCGAATTTTTAGGTTTACACTCCTATTGACACTCTTACTAAGTGTAATGAATTGGCTGAAACAATTAAAATGGGATTTCTGTGCACTCTACTGTGTGTAATCATTATGTGTGAGGATAAAATGTTTGTGGAATTTTTTTTTGTTTTTTGGTATGAACTGGCTTGAGGCGTTTTTTATCAGGGTGGGCCCATTGATCCATAGTCATGTTTTAATTGAAACTTGCTTTCCTTTTGGAAATTTTTGTGGATTTAATCTGCTAATCCGAGGCTTTCTTGTTTGAGCATAGTTGTTGCGTAGTTCTATCTCCTATGTTAACTGATTTGTTATTGATTTTGTGGACAGAATGGATATTGCTGGAAATCGCACAATAGAATCATTTTATCAGGATGTCATCCATCTTCAGGTTACCTGAAACTTACATAACTTGCATAAATGCTAATTTATGTTAATTATATGGTCAACTCGCTTAAACATTTAAGTTGATATTAAGATGCTGCGATGTACTTTTTTTTTCCTTCCAATACTAATGATTTCATGTACAGATTTCTATTTAGTTTACATCCAAAAACTCTGTTTAATTTTCTATGATTATTTAGAAATTCGTATTGCTTGTTGATGCATAAGTTCGAAGGACTAATATTTTGTCTTTATCTGAACTGATTGCAGGGCATTGCTAAAAGTCTGAACCATGATTGTGTTGCTCGATCTGAACCTTCTAAGGTGCACTTCGGTTTCTTTGTTCTTTCTCACCTTTCAGACATTTATAGCTTCAACCAGATCCCCCCCTCCCCCGCGCTTTCCTACTATTTGGGACAAATTTTTACTACTCAGTGTTAATTGCTACTCATGGATGCTGGAGCCAGTGTTTCTTCCCTCAAGAGTTCATAGGAAATATAAAGACTCCTGTCTTCCTTGTGCAACCAGCATATGATTTTTGGCAGGTACTTTTTTCCATATCTGTAAAGGGTTCATAAATATTGTTACCTTTTGATATAATGGGCTTTTACCATACATTTGTATCAATATTTTCCTAACCTCTTTCAGATTGCACATATTTTGGTACCCCAATCATCAGATCCGAGTGGCAGTTGGGCAAGTTGCAAACTGAATATTTTAAAATGCAATTCCAGCCAGCTAGAAATTCTCCACAGTATTATTCTTCTTATAACTTCTCTTACTGCTCGCATCCATAAATTTCATGGGATACACTGATGAATTCATATACCTGAAAGATAGATACTGGGAAGAAGATTTCATTCCTTTTGGAGTCAGTATGATCTAGTTTCATGGGCGGGAATTTTACAAATAACAGAGTGGTGTTTGGATGCTTCTCTGAAATTACATCGCGATTTTGTCTTCCATTTACCTGAATCCAATCATGACACCAAAAATATTAATTTGTTATTTGTCCTGTCTACTTATTAGAGAGTACATGTAGTAGAGACTCATCTATTGAAGAGTTTCATCAGCATGGTGTGGATTTAGATACTACCTAGGAGAAAACATGGGGTCATGTGTTATTTTAATTTTTATTTTATTTTATCATGAATGTCTTGATTCACATTTGAGCTGTTAAAAGCATGCATAAGGGCATTAAGGCCTCATCCTCTGTAATGAGGTTTAATTGGCTTTTATTTATACAGGTTACAGGAATGCATTGCTCAAAATACTCAATGAATTCCAGAAAAATCCGAAAGGGGGCGTGTTTGTAGATTCTTGCTTTGTACATTGCCAAACATGGGCAACTGAAACATGGCATTCTCCTAGTTCTCCAAGAATCAACAACAAGGTTTGTTCGGATACTTCCCATCACCACAACACCTAAACAAACACATCGATATGTCTAAATAGCAAAAAATAGGGGCAATTCTTGATTCATTAGTTCTCTCGACAGCTTAACAGTAGACTCTTAACAGGGCAGCATTAGTGATACATGCTGCATCTAATGTGGATATTTACTCTATGTTGGATGGATGTAATGTGTGCAAAACTCTTCTAAAACATTTCTAGCTCATGCTCGTCAACTCTACTAACATACACGGTGAATGTTGAACAGACAATAGCAGAATCAGTAGGCGATTGGTACTTCAACAGAAGAGCAGCACAGCATGTTGATTGCCCTTTTCCCTGCAACCCCACATGCTCACACAGGGACCTCAGTTTGCTGATGCATTAGAGACAGGATCTGTCAACACCTTTGGCTTGATGGTTAATCTGGTTTTCTTGCATCTGTACAAGAATTTGTTTCTCATATCTCAAATCTGATACTTCAATCACAGATGAACTAAGAATGGTGTACATTTCGCACATTCCCATGTTGTAATAAAAGTAGTAAGAAAAAACCAAAACCATAACAACCTGCCTATGGTTTCAACGGTTGGCAGTTGTCCACCAGATATAGTAACATAGCACATTCTGTTTTATCATTCCATTTTTTTTTATGAATAATTTTTTTTTTCTTTTTTTTATGAATAATTTCCATCTCATATGTCACATTCCCCTGCAGAAAACAGAATGCCAAGCAACTGTTGTTAGGATCAATTAGGCAGGCAGGCATTCCGGATCAAGATTCTTGATGATTCAAAACAAAACTTGATGATATTTAAAATGGGGCAAAAATTGCATCAGCAAGGATCTTTGGAGAAGCAGAATGCCGTAGGATGCATGTGGGGAATGATAATCCACCATTTTCACAACAGAAAATGGCACCACAATAATGTCAGGAATAGACTTTCTCACAGGAGACATTCTTGTGGAAATGATATTCATACTTCTACCTCTGGTAATTTATTTCTTAATTATTATTTCCCTGCATTTATTTTTTTGGGATAAAATATTGGCTTGCTCACTGCAGATGAAGGGATCGCCAGAATTCCACCTGAAAACATTGTATGTCTTGTTTTACTTGCAATTGTGATTTCAATTTCAATTTTCAATTTGATATAAAGTTGTAACTTGACTAGTGTTGACCAGGACAAAGCAAAGGACGTTGAGCAACGATCATCTTTATCTTCATCTTCGCCTAAAATTAGCTCGATGAAATCCCGATTGAAGGCTTTGATCGCGGAACAGATGCCTAAATGGAGAAGCCGCCACTGCAAAAGCTCTTCCTCTCCCACTAAGGCGACACAGCCGGAAGAAACTACCGTTGCCCTTTTTGGGTCTGAGAGCACTTCACAATCACAAGATGGCACGGGGGGTTTATTATGTGACATGGATTCTGCAGCCACAGTCACTAATTTTAGCAACAAGACGCCTCTGGTGCTTCTCAAGAGAACATCTTCCTGTAATGAGCTGTGTGATAGATCATCATCATCATCATCGTCGTTGTCATTGTCATCCCAGGCTGTAATGACGCTAAAAACCGATGAAAGAGAGAGCTCTACAGTTCCCGGCCTGAAAAGGACACGGTCACTTCCAAATCTCGAATTCAGGTCTTATGTCAATAGAGAGGTTGGGGTTGAGGTCGAGGTTGAGGTTGAGGTTGATCCTTCTGGCATTCAGGTCTCAAACAACGACAACCGGCTTTTGAGTCCCCAGGTTGACGACAAGAGCAAAGCTGAATTCAACTATGTAAGACAAGTGTTAGAGCTTTCGGGGTTCATCAATGGAGATGGGGGTAGTCGGCATTTGGTGCTCGACTGTCCTGAAAACGACCATGGCGGCGATGATCTTCTCATGTTCGATTTAGTTAATGAGGTGTTGCTGCGTATACATGAGCGGTCGTCCTGGCAATGGGCGAGGTCCATGCCGGGCTGCCAACATGTGCATGGCGGCAGCGGCGGTGGCGTTCTGGAACAGGTGTGGGGGGAGACGAGGTGGTTGCTGCAGAGTAGGCTGGGCGGTGGCGGTGGCGATGCAGCAGCTGTGAGGTGGGATATGGCCAAATGGGACCGTTGGATGGATCTGCAGTTTGATGCAGAGAGTGTGGCACTCCAAGTCGGAGACTTGATATTTGATGACCTCCTTCAGGACGTCGTTCTACACTTGATATAATCATTTATTATTCCATATTTCATTTATTTTATTGAAAAATAGAGAATCATTTCACTATACACAATATATAACCTAAGCTGCTTATAATATTTTTCTTTTTGATCTTTTACAAACACTCTACAATATTTTTTAAATAACTATATTTAATCTCTAATAAATACACACCATTTTTTATTTCACCACACCACACCATTCAAATAAAAATAATAAATATACATTTTTCTCTCGTACTATATCACTTAATTCTAAAATTATTCCATTTAATTCTATATACTTAAATTCTTGTGTCTAAAACTAAATATTGGTCCATGTTTGAGACGGAGGGAAACAATCTATTAATTTTTTCATTTTGGTCCGTCCTATAACAAAGTATTTATTTATTTATTTTAGTAACAGTACTATCCGTCTAATATTATAAATAATCTTCCAATTTACAATATATTACACAAATGTCGTTATTTATATATCATACAATACTAATAAGGATAGTTTAGTCTTTTACATTTATTTATACTACATTCTGATATAATACTAATATTTCTAAAATTTCGTACAAAAAGTAAATGGATAGATAGATATAAGACGACGCCTATGATACACATGCTGATTAAATATCAATCATTATATTTTGATATTGTCATATCTTGTAGCTAATATTAAAGAGTTAATTTTATAATTTTATTATACACCTAATGTATTAATTTAATTGTGTCTCAAATCAAAATAATGACGCTGCTGATATAAAAGAGCATAATATCGTCCCGTAAAAAGAATAATATTATTGTTGTAATATTATGATAGGGATAACCAATAGAAATATTAATTATTTATACTGCTAACCACTATTTTTATATAAATATATATATGTATATAAAGATGTGTGTGGAGTTGTGGATGTATGTGTAAAGTATAATTATGAGTAAGTTATTATTATTATATATATATGGGTTTGTATGTATGTAGGTGTTGGTGTGTGTAATGATGATGGTAACGGTGTAGTATGATATTGTTGAATGTTTGAATGTGGGAGTGGGGAGTTAGAGAGAATAAGGATATGTATTTCATTTTATTCAACCCATATTTATACATACGAAAACCTTGATGTGAAGGAATAAAAGCATACATATTGACTACATAGCATATTCGTGTGTGCTACGTGTATAACACTCCCCCTTGGATGCTTTTGTAACACCTCGGCCGGCTCGAACCGGAACGTCACCGCCAAGCCACACCGAAAGGCTCGTTCATCAACCAACGAGTCCTACATTTTTTTTATTATTAATTATTACACAAATGTCACTACTTTTACCAACGAGTCCTACGTTGTGGCGCTAAGGCTAAAATAATAAGTACTAGCAACTAATAGGGACTTAGAATTAAAGCACACTGACTTATCAATTAAGTAAATAAGGTTCAATTCAAAAGCATAAATTGGAAATAATTCAAAGGCATTATTCATTAAACATGATTAATGAATTTAAAAAGCATCGTAGAAGGTAAAGTAGTTCTAATTCCCCCGATGGATCATATGATGTGAATGCATCACTTAGGTATAACGGAAGCATGATCACCTACAAAATATTGTAAGAAGAGTTAAGCGCAATTAATCGAAAATAAATTAATACGGTATAATGCCACATAATCATTTGAAGAAGATAATTGAATAAGATGACACGTATCACATAAGGGGAACTCACGCACACGAGTCTTTTAGCGCCTCCCTTATATCCCATTTTCATTCTCAAATAATAGTAATGAGCACATCACGAAGAAAACTCCACTAGGCCTTAATCAGGGCCGACTCGACCTGGTTTTCCAACCTTACTACTTCGTATGACACGTCACATAATATCACATAACAAACATAGGGTCACAACCCTCAAAGGAAACTCCACAATGTGTACATAAGGGTTCGAAACCCAAAGTACACGTAAATCAATTTATTATTAGTTTGCGAAGGGCGCCATACGGCCCACAACTCTCTAGTATCTAATATAACATACCAAGAGGGGATTGTACGCAATCCAACCCTCCATCACGGATGACGGTCCAAAGACCTTTTCCATCGTGAATGACGGACACCTCGGAATCACCCAAAAAGGAAACCCGCCATCTCGATCTCTCGACCTAGCCCATTCGGGATCTAGTTCAAGGTTAGCTAGTTATCCTAAAATACCGGTATACCCTCACGTGTTTGCAAGGCACAGAGGTGGAAGGCTATGCCTTGTCATCCAAACAATCGGCGAGTTGATTGGACTCGACGGGTAGTTTCAATTACCAATTTGACCAAATACTCAAGATGCTCTTAGGCAAATTTCAAAAAGGGTGTTTTAAACTCAAAATATCCCAATTGTCAACATTTAACCAAGCAAAAGTAGGATATTAGACCCAACAAATTCGTTATAATTTCACTTTATTCCGCCAAATCAACATTCGAAATATATGTCAATCACAATAGGCACGGTCTAACTCCAAAAATCATAATATTTAAATATAATCGTAAATTTTTTTTTCAAAAACCATAACTAGGTTAGGGCAAAACTAGGGTTTCAGACCCATCCCATAAATTCTATGATTTTCAATTTAAAATCCAATAATAATCTTCACATAAGCATTATAATCAACTTTCTAGAAGAAATTGGCAAAACCTAACACTTTTAGGGCAAACTCATTTGACAATAATATTGAAAAAGATATCAATAGAATGGGTTTAGGGATTAGGACATATCAATATATCTAAAATTAATCCCACTTACTTTGAGAAAAGAGAACAAAAGGAAAAATTTTGGAGAAGAAGAACTCCAAGGAAGAACAGAGGGCTGGCGGCGGTGCTGGCGGGCGTGAGGGCTGGCGGTGGTGCTGGCGGGCGTGCTGGCTGCTGCTGCTGTTCCTTTTATTTTATTTTATTCTTTTATTAAACATAAAATACTTAGGCCTTTATTAATTATTTTCTCCTACTTTGACCCAAACTCAATTTTTACTTCTAATTTAAACCTAACTCTTTAATTTATTACACTAAAAGACCAAAATAAATTATGCCCAAAATAAAATTTGTCCAACTCCGACAAACTTCCGACGATTATTTTACGGGGCATTACAGCTTTTATACAAAGAATGTGCCTTTGTTAAAACCTTACTAGAAAAAAATCCCGTAGGACAAAAAAATCCTAGTGAAGGAAAAAGAGTACATTCTTATATCAATTCGCTTCCCCTGATCTGAACATTATTTAAGATCCCTTAACCGACGCATCCCAATTTTTTTACCAATTTTTTCAAATGTTGCCGTCGGTAATGCCTTGGTTAATATATCCGCCAAATTATTATCTGATCAAATTTGTTGCACATTGATTTCACCATTTTATTGTAGATCATGAGTAAAAAAGAATTTTGGTAAAATATGTTTCGTTCTATTTCCTTTAATGTAACCCCCTTTCAATTGGGCTATACAAGCCACATTATCTTCATATAATGTAGTTGGGGGAATTTTAATGTCAGGTATTAACCCACAATTTTTCATAATATGTTGAGTCATTGAACTCAATCAAACACATTCTCGACTAGCTTTATGTATTGCCAATATTTCAATATGATTTGAAGAAGTGACGGTTAAAGTTTGTTTCATCGATCTCCCAGAGATCATTGTTTCGCCACAAGTGAATATATAGCCAGTTTGAAACTTGGCTTTATGAGGATCAGATAAATATTCTGCATCGGCAAAACTAATTAATTCATGTCGAGAATCTTTCGAGTAGAATAACGCGAGATTAATTGTTCCTTGGAGATAGCGAAAAATGTGCTTAATTCCATTCCAATGTCGTCGAGTAGGTGACGAGCTGAATCTTGCCAATAAATTTACAGCAAATGATATATCAGGTCGGATGCTGTTAGCAAGATACATTAATGCACCTATAGCACTCATATATGGCACTTTAGGGCCAAGTGTTTCTTTTTTTTTCTCTTTTGGTCTGAAAGGATCCTTTGCTGGATCGAGTGCTCCGACGATTATTGGAGTACTTAGCGGATGTGATTTATCCATCATGAACTGTTTCAGTACCCTTTTGGTATAATTTGATTGGTGGATGAAGATTCCACTTTCCAAGTGCTTAATTTGCAGACCAAGTCAAAATTTAGTTTTTTCAAAATCTTTGATCTCAAATTCCCTTTTCAGATATTCAACAGTTTTCTGGATTTCATCAGGAGTTCCAATTAAATTGAGATCATCGACATACACAGCGATAATTACAAATTCTGACCCTTTTTTTTTTTTTATGAAAACACATGGAGAAATAGAGTCATTTATGTAACCTTATTTTGTTAAGCTTTTGCTGAGACGATTGTACCACATTCGGCCTGATTGCTTGAGCCCATATAAAGATTTTTGCAATTTGATAGAATATGATTATTTTGTCTTTGATTTGAATGATTCAGGTATGTTAATCCCTTATGGGATTTTAATGTAGACGCCATTATCTAAATAGCATAAAGATAGGCAGTAACCACATCCATTAATCGCATATCAAGATTATTGTATACTGCCAGGCTCACAAGATACCTGAATGTTATTCCATCCATGCCGGCAAATATGTTTCTTCAAAATCAATGTCCGGTCTCTAGGAAAAACCCTGGGCTATAGGCCTTGCTTTATATCTTGTGATATCATTATTTTTATTTATTTTTCTCACAAACACCCATCTGTAGCCAACATGTTTCACATTTTCAGGTGTTTGGACTATGGGTCCGAATACTTGCCATTTATTCAATGAGTCTAATTCAGACTTAATTGTGTCTTTTCATTTTGCCCAATCATCTCTTTTCCGACATTCATCAACTGATTTTGGTTCATAATCCTCGTCATCTTTCATTATATCGAGTGCTACAGAATATGCAAATGCATTATCAATATTGGTTTTCTTTCTATTCAAATATTTTCCACTGGTAGTATAGTTAACAGAAGTTTCAATAACTTCATCCTTACTTTCATCATAATTTTTAGTATCAACCTTTTCAGGGGTTGTACTGACCTTTTCAGGTATCTGATCATTGTTGATCTTTTCACCACTATATACAATTTTCTTCTTTCATGGATTCTTATCCTTGGAACCC